TATTATCGTCGCGTTCATTTTTTTTAATGAACAATAGGCCGTTAATTCGTAGTTGCGTACTACGTACGTTTTTGACGTCACCGCGGAACGCGCGGTACATACAGCGATGAGGAAGACTGAACACAATCTACTACATTTCCAAAAAGGTTCACATTGATTCGGATACACATACAGATACGTATTTCAACCAATAATGAGGTACAGCAAGGTTGACGTGCAACGCTATCTTTCTCAGCCTTGCAATGTTTGTTTACATTTCTTACGTCCTTGCAGAGGTCACGGCTCGGTCGTACTCAGTATTGCACCGCTGCCGAACTCGGCCGCTTAAGAGCGTCTAACCATTCTTCAATGCATTCTTGTGTATTCCCAATACACAATCTTAAATACGGAAGTTATTGTTAAACAGTGTTATTCTTCGTGACGCTTTTCCAAAAGATTAGTCGAAGATTTAAAAGTGTTTTTAACTTTTTTTTCTCATTGTCTATACTTCTAGGTATACTTTTGAATGATCAATCGCAGATCTATCATATACTCAATCATTTTACTCGGCTAGAGATATATGTATATGCCATGAAAAGAAAGAAAAACCTATGCCATCTAAGAAGAATGTGAAAACTAGTTTATGGCATTTGCAAAGAAATACAAGGACTGGAGTACCGAGCACTGGAAATGTGTAGTATGGTCCGATGAAACAAAAATTAGTCACGTATCGTCAGATGGCAGAGCATGGTACTGGAAGAGCAAGGAGTGAAAACAAACGACACCGAGCCGAATAAATATCGAAACACGGTGGCGATTCTATTAGGATATGGGGGTCTATGGTTTCCTATGGAACAGTGTGTTGCAAAGTGAACAGTTGCTCATCACTGTATGTCCCAGCGTGACGGAACGAGAAGACAACGAAACGTTCGTGAACTTGGTAAACGATACTTTTAGGTGAAAAATTTTGAGAGGAAAGAAAAAAATTTAACGAAAACTGATATTATTATTCATGGCAAAACACGATGGGAATGTATGTGCAGCATCCGAAAACATTTCCGAGGCATGCTTCTCGGAGACTCTAATGGCGCCTGTATGTCGCCATTACGTATTCGTTAAAGAAACACGAGCACGTGCGCTGTGCCATTGTATGGAAATTTCTAAATAAATACGTCAACCGTAATACGAGACATCCTTAAAAATGTTGAGTCTGGTTCAGATATTTTTTTTTTCCTTTCTCATCCCATAGTCAGGTAGCCATTAGGCTTTGTCCAAAAATCACGTAGCTCTCAGCGACCATACGTGGCCTATTTACGTAAAGCGAATACGCGACTGTACAATCTCGTGGTATTATACGTTATGATCCACGGAAAAAAAAAACAAACGGTAGTACTCATATCGCGATAAGAATGACCGGTGACGCAATCTCTTCGGAATTAATAACTTTCTTCGTGGGTGAATTATTATCGATCTTCTCAGCCTAATGATATTCGCACGACTCTTGCATACCGTGTTTTGAGGCCTGGAATAACTAGAGAGTTGCACGATTTATAACAGAGACGTTCTTTTATATTAAACAGCCGAAGACCCGCGCGAGCGTTTATGGGTGACGACATTTTTTCAAATAGGACCGTTATCAATCAAAACACGCTTCCAGCGACAGTAACTCGAGTTATTGGAATAAAGGTCGCTTACGCAATGTAGATTCAAAGTCCGCAGATCGCTCGGCCGGAACTTTCGCGGAATGAGCGATAAGAGGGAATTGCTTTATATCACTGGATTTACGCTTCACTTGTCGAACTGCATAATTTTCATCGTCCAGTTGATAATTTCGACCTTACGAGGATCAACGTTGACTTGCTCAAGATTCCTTTCAATTTTACACTTAGCCAACGACCGATCGGGGAGATCTCCCACGTTGACCGTAGCAACGCGTTTCCTTTTTTCTGTTATTATCAGTCACGTTAACCTGGAGTGGTTCCCAATTGTTGACGAACTTTTGCTGCCTTTATGAAGCACAGTATTAAATAAAGCTACAGTGTAACAGATAAATATGAAAAAATAAAATATAAGGTAAACAAATTTTTATTTCATGTTTTGTATAAACAATATGTAAAATTGTTAAACGAAAATGTTACCACAAAATATAATTGACCACTTAAATAATTTTCAGGCTTTTTTGATTTCAAGTAGTGAATATTAGTCCGCGTTACTTGCGAAAAATGCACGGTGGGCAGCGTACTTTGGCCTGCTTGAGCGCCGTGAGAAACGTACAGTTCGCTGTAGCGCGCGCGGTTGGCTAAGTGTTAATTAAAAAATGAAGCTTTCGTGCTTTCATAAATATAGATAAGTCACCTCGAATTTTGAAAAAAAAAGAAAGAAATTCGATATTGAGAATTGAGTTTTTAAAAGTTAATATAAAAACGCTAGGGATCTTTACTATCAATGTAATATTATGAATTCAGGAATTATTGACTTTTCCATTAATGTGATTAAGATATGAGGGGTTAAGGCAATGACAAGAGTAAAATAAAAATGCTATTGGAATCCGGTTTTAGGATTAGGTAACTGCTATTCATGCTATTCTGCCAAAACGTACATGAATTGAAAATACAACGAATTCAAATTATGACATATTAAAAGTTTCGCAAAATAAAAATATTTAAAATATCACTCAACGATTAAAAAATCTCAAAAATGACAGGGCCAATTACGGTGATAATATTGTATAGTATTTTAGAGGACGAGAAATTTCCTTTTTTTTATGACTAGCATGGTACTAGAATCTTATTAAGGAATTTTGAGACTTGAGAATCCTCACTTGCAAAAGAGAGTAAAATATGGACAGTTACTATTTCTTTAAACGGTGTAAACGATTAATATGAAATTCAGTTGATGGATACCTCAATAATTTCAATAATATCAACGAGCTTAAAACGGGCAAGGATACGAATACAAATTTTTTTATCGCAATCCAATATACGCGTCGATCAATTTGAAGATGACACAATTCCAAAAGGAAATGTACAATTAATTAATTCCTGAGCCATCATCTAATACGTCTCACGCTAAGGACACTGTTGCGAGACGTAACAGCTGAAAGGTCAAGTGCAATATCTTGAAAAGAGGAAGTTGAGAAAAAAGCACTAGAGATAAAAAATATAACTCACTGTATCGTACAAGCATCCGCATACCAATGAATGTGCGAGTTGAATAATATTCCCGTGGACAACACGACGTTATACAGATTTCTTGGGTATAGAACACGATAAAGAGAAACATTAAAAAAAAAGTTAATTATTCAAGTATATAAGATTCACGGATGATTGGTGTATTAAATATTTAAATATCCATCGGTACGATTGCCAATAAACATCAAATTGCAACTGTTGCCATAGTTAATAGTTATTACGATAAATGGTAATTTTTTAAATGAAAAAAAAAGCCAACAACGTGAGAAACGAGTAACACTTACAAACCTGTACACTTGCGTGTACATTGGGTCTCCCGTATAACGCGAGTTCTTGGAACGCGAATTCATATAACGCGCCAAATAATAAAAGACAGGAATTACCTGATTTAAGAATTAAATCTTAACAGTAGCATTTTTTCTCGCTTTATACGGGGGGGCTACTGTATTACGAAAAGAACGAACAAAGCATAACATAACCTTTACAGATTTTTCAAAAAACCTGTCCTCGACCGAAGGTCCTGCCAAAACCGGTAAAGCTGTCGTGGCCATTAATTTTGACAAATGCTATTATCTTTTACCTTCACTCCTGTTAATTTTATTCGACGTGATCAGTATTCTAGGGGTTTTCAAAATATGGTAATTCTTTATCATGTGAAATGCCAGACATTGACTTTCATGACAACAGCGGACGGTGGATTCGCGACACGTATACGTATGTCTGCGGCCAATCACGTGCGCCAGCTCTATTTGAAATTATATCACGGATTACTTACGTACATTAGAATTATTCTATGACGCACTATCGGAGATTAATATGTGGACATAAGTGTCATTCACGTAAGCTATATAGGGTGTCCAAACGATTTTTTGAATACTTCAAAAGACATTGCGTCGGACAGAGAATTTTCTTTGGTGGGAAATAAAAAATTAAAACTCCTGATCAGCAAGTTTGACGGCGAAAGGCTGTTGCAATGGTAACGAGAAAAAGAGAGTCGGTAAACAAGTTCATAAATTCGACAACCTTAGTAGGAAGTACGATTAAAATAGAAGTTGTTTGATACCGATGAAATTCTTGTACAGACTATAACGGGGTGCCCGGCCCGGCTCGTCCCCGCTATAATTAATGTTTATCCATAGAGCCACCAGAGAGCACTAGAGGGCTAGGAATTTCCGAAAAACCAGGAGTTCTGATCGTGATTCAAACCCGATACCTTCGGACTGCCAAATCGAGCACTTACCACGGTGCTCTTGAACCCACTGTCCGACCTGATAAGTCCTATTTATTTATTTTTCGGTCATTCCTAGGTGGCATCCCATCCTCCAGCTCTGTAACGCCACGTTACAATACATTCGGAAAAATTTGTATGGTTATAGTTACTATGAGGGTTATGCGTCCACATTTGAAAGCGCCAACTATTTGTGGTTAGTTGGCGTTTTATAGTTACGATAAGTAGAAATTTCTCTGAGTGTTGCAGGAGGTTCCGACTGGTATTCAAAGAACCGTTGCTTCGTCCGATTCCATTCTTCTTTTAATGGATTTAAAGATTATTTTTAATTCATTGGATTAAACACACTGATGGGATCATCGATCATCCACATCCAGTGAGATTGATTACAGTGAACTTTAATCATGTAATAAAGATGACACTCGAGTTTTATCTATTGGTTCTTAAGTTCTATTATCCAGGAGCACCTGATACTTGATTAATTGTTATATCGTTATTTTATATTATTGAAGATAACAATAGCTTCAAAATCACCACCATCATGCACGGAAGGACAGGAATGCGTAGATAAAAATTTAAAAAAAATCATAATCCATACTCACCCTCTGACGCCATTAGCAACTATCGGAACTTGTCCATTTAACTTCTCGTTTTCTACCATGGTCGTAAATACAGCTTTTACTCAATAATCAGCATTCAGTGTTGGAATACGTTGTTACGTTGACTGCTCGTCAAGAGTCTCAAAGTCTACAAACAGAATATCTACAATAAATATTGTGGTCAATATTTTTAATAATCTGGTCACTTACAGATAAATAACATTTATACATGTAGATGAGATAAATCCCAAGTGGTAAACAAAATTCTGAATTAAAGTCAATCTCTAATATAAACTTCGACAAGTTAATTATTGTTATGTGTATAATCACTTATTACGAAACATTTTTTTTGTTTAATTTCTACCATATTCGGAAAAAAAAACGAAAATTATTTCGTTAACAATTTATGAAATAATGATTTCCGGTGACTTTTTTTATTTGCATGTTAGCTATGATTAGCATTAGCATATTCCTTGCCCCAAGCACGTGTCCCATTGCTATTACTTGTGTCGGTACAATAAAAATACTTAGTGTAAAAAGCTCCTAATAATAATGATAAAACAACTGTAACTCTTCCCTCCGATAAATGGTACCAAAACGGAGAGTCACTGTTGACCCTGAAAGTATATTGCATCGTAATTGTATTAGACGAGTGTGTACAGTGCAGTCGAATGGAAAACTGAAGTAAGCATAAAGTGCAAGCACTGTGCAAAATACATTGTTTTGAGGTGGTTAAATATACATATACGATATTTCGTCGCCACAAAAATACCAGTGAAAAATATATCGCGCTGTGTTGTTAGCGCACGGTAAGAGGAATGAGATCAGGAAACTATTAGAATCCGGTTAGTATGCATTGACCGTAGTTGTTGTACGATCTTGACTTTGCTTGTTGCAAAACGAAAAGAGAAAGAGAAACCCAAGAAACATGACGCTCAACTTGATTCCAACTCATAAACTATGTATGTGTACTTACTGTGTTTTTCCAATCTAGAGTAGCTGCTGTGGTTAGCGTAGTGATACCAAATGGCCTCCTAGTACACGATGATATTTCACTCCAGGATACTTGCACTGTTTCTGGATTTGCACGCGAGGCTTAATACGTCGTCACGACTTTATGTACGCAAGGCACTATACGCACTTGGTACGTACCAACTCGCGAGACAGCCGCGTACTGACGAGAGAGCGTAGTTATCTCGAGTAGTCTTGTGAATTAAGTCACTGCTCACTGATCTGTGGGACTGATGGCTTCGATTGGATTGGCCAAATCAATGGCGGCTCATAGACACAAACATTGAAATCACTTTTTCTTTTATCTCCTGTTGTAAGCAACAGAGTGCTGTATTTTTTTTCTTTTATCCGTGAACTACGACCTAACCTCTTTACTTCGTGTAGAAAGCAAACATGGCGTGCGTTCCATGTATATGATGCGTTTGACAGGTACGCTTATTTACAGCAGCTGACTGTTCTGTCGATAATACAGAGTGTCGATAATGCAGAGTCCCGATAAACCGACGTTGATAAAGTGGATGCGACGAAATAAAAATTAAATTTCCATTGAAATTAAATATAATTCCCAGCATTTACAATGTAATTAGCGGTTTCTTTGTAAAAGTAGGAGAAAATAACCTTCCTGTCTGGCTGGAAAGTGTCAGCGAATGCCTAGTGATTTTTAGACTTTTTAAAATGCAAAGTAGCCATACTGGATTTAATGCAGTAAGTAAAAAAATTATATGCATATTTAAAACAGCTGTCGTGGCTCCTACCACTATCCATCTTAAATATGAAAATTTCAATTAATTAGTATATATCCATCCAGGGCGTGACAACTGTCTATAGTTCATAAATATAACGATGGCATAGCTGTTTAAAAAATATTCGAATTTTTTTATTTATCGTGTTTCTTCTAATTAGGTAAGGCACGATAAGTCTTCGTGCAATATTTTGCAAGGAATATTCAAAAACCATATAAATTACAGTGCAACGTTTTACAGTTAATAATCCACTAGAATGAATGATTGCAAAGTAACATAAACGCCTTATTATGGGATGCCTGTTGAACGTCTACTAGATTTGACATATTCTACAAACATCCGCCAGATGCCATGCATTATTCCTCCTGTACAGAATGGCATTCGCTCATAATTTCCTAGAAAGTCTGATATAATATTATTTAACTCGTCACAACACGCGTGTTATGTGCATTTCTCGTATGCGACACGACTTAACCTATAGAACGACGCAGTAGTCACCCTGAGACGCTAGAAATGACAAGCGTACTGACGAGCTAAAAGAATTTTGGCAAACCATAATGGCGCGACAGTGGATAAGATTTTTTATGATTTTTTATTCATTTGTGCTTTAGTACAAACGTGATCATCCTCATCTAAAACACAAAACGAAATACAATGATTCACCTGCCGCAAGATATCGGTGATGTATTTCTTTATTATTTTCGTTTTCATTATTTTTTTTTCACTTTTTGTTTCTTTCTGATCCTAATTCCCATTTTTCACGCATATCGCACGCACTTACGTACACACGATCCCTCTTTGTCGTTTCTCTTTTAAATTCTGTCATATAAAATTACGTTACTTGAAAAAATGGTACAGATGGTATTTGGTATATGGTACGTACTCTATATGTATAATAATAATAATAACAATATCGATACGGTATCCTAGAAATGAAACGCGCGATTCGCTATCGCAATTTACGAGTAAATCACGAGCCCGTCTACCAATATATGTATAATATATATATATATATATATATATATATATATGTTAATATATAAAATCGCACGCACTTACGTACACACGATCCCTCTTTGTCGTTTCTCTTTTAAATTCTGTCATATAAAATTACGTTACTTGAAAAAATGGTACAGATGGTATTTGGTATATGGTACGTACTCTATATGTATAATAATAATAATAACAATATCGATACGGTATCCTAGAAATGAAACGCGCGATTCGCTATCGCAATTTACGAGTAAATCACGAGCCCGTCTACCAATATATGTATAATATATATATATATATATATATATATATATATACACATATATATTCGTAATATAAGTACTGTTATTAATACATAAACGCATGGAAGAGTGCGCGACGCGTTACAATTACGACGTAATAATAAATAAATAAAAACGCGAAACGACGCATACTTCCTTATATCCCAAATAAAGTACAAGGTGACGATTTTAAAAATTTCGTGTATAAAACGTGTTTTTTGTTGTTATGTCTTTCCATTATCCTCGTATCTTCGTATTATTTCTCATTCTGTTTCGCATGTATCGCCAGTGGTGCTGAATATCGCGATATTGACTATCGGCATTTTATTGTTATTACCTGCTGTCGCTTCGTCAATTTTTGACCGGCGTTTATCTCTACACTGCTTAACGCGTTTATTCTCTAAATATGTATCGAAGCTGCCGTTTTTCATTGACGAAAAATGTCTCTAAACGACCGTCGAGAAAGATTATTATTTTCATAAAGTGAATGCGAATTGAATAGTTACGAGTCGAAAAATATGGTTAGGTTAGGTTTTCTATAGAAATACGAACGTTGTTTGGTTCTCGCATGAAATATCCGTTTAAATATATAATGATGAATAACTGACGTTTAAACATTGCACGCAATCAGACAATAATTGCATCTCGACTCCTCGATGATTAATAAATTTATATATTTCTTTTCGTTTTCCTTCGCTATTCTTGAAAGAATACATCATTGACTAGAGTCCAGTTACTATGTAATGTCATGGATCAAAAATGCCTGTCCTTGGCGTGCTTAATTTCTTTTTTTGTGGTAAAAAGAACAGATTACAGTGCACGATGTTGAATCCGTATAAATTTGATTTCTTGTTCTTGTTTACATTATTTTTGCATCACGATATGTCTATGGCTTCTATTTGCTATCGACTAAGATCATTGTATAGAAAAATGAAAATGGAAGAAAAAATTTTAATGAAATGCATAAACGAGTATGCGAAACGTTAATATTGAAAATGAAAAAAAAAAAAGTGAGTAAGTACTTTGACAGACGTGATATGAGTGGTTCAATTACGAGCTATAAGCACCGTGATAAATATTGGTTGCATACGATTATACAATTTTTATATCTTTTCTCTGCTCGTTGTATACAGTGTGATCTTGTGCATGTGCACAAAGTAATGTCACGTGACGTGACGCACGTGAAAATACGGAATTCCAAGAGGATGAATTGTGCCGATACGATGCCTTCGTATTTCTAAGAGCTAGCATTCGTCTATTGGCAATATTATGGCGGTAAATTTGAATACTTTCGTTCTATGGCATTAATTGCGATGCCACCCTGTATACAAGAAGAATTGTCAATTGTCTTTATTATAAATCGTACGGAAAACGTTACTACTCAGTACAGTAATGGAAAGGAAAAGGATACATTCCGGTAACGCTTGTTTATGTTTATATATATAAAAATAAAAAGAAAACAGGATATAAACAATAATTCACTAATATTCGCTAAATACAATAATGGTCGACAAGCCCTCACGTTCCTTTCTTCAGTCTGTTGTGACTCACTGTAGAATTCCGAATTATTTAATTGTGGGCTGACTCCTGTCCTACTGTGGCCTTGTGCTGTTTCGTTATCGCCTAGGCCTCGTGGTTACGGACTACCCATTAATGTTCGTCAAATTTTCATGTATATCTGGGCACTTCGTATTTCTTACACGCAAATTATAATCAGCGTCCATTTTATCGCCCATTGTCATTTTCATTATCACTGTCACGAGTATGCCGTAGTAATATATAATATTATAATATATATGTATATATACACGTACATATATAATACATATATACGTAAATATGTACGCAAAACTAAGTACTATTTTTAATTAACACGCACTTTTATAGAAGCAAACGCTCAGGCAGCCAGTGATTGGTCGAGTGTGAGCTTTATAGATTAAACTTCGGTTTTTCTCATTTTTATCTCTTCGTTCCTTTTTTCTCCGTCATTCGAGTCGCCGTTAAGTATTATTTAATTGTATTTCGATAAACCTAGCAATGGAATTACGATATGAATAAAGGATCGATCCTTGCGATCGGGTAAGAAACTATTTGAATCGCGCGTGTGTAATTACGAAATTCGCACGAGCGTCACGTAGGAATACGCGCTTTCGTCGCTGTCACGAGACAATGTAACGCCACGACTTAAATACGCGAATAATAATATAATAAAAGACCCGTTCTATAAATAATCTAAATTCATACTCCTAGGCGCTATTTCAACGACCACGTCCATTAGCGAAACGGATGCTTAGCGCTCTGTGTATTGGAGGGAAACAATTGTTTAAACTGGGCCTAAGACCCTTGGCGAGTTATTAATAGTAACCGGCTATAGGTTGACAGCGCGTTCGATACGAGCGAACTCTATTGGATATCAAACTTTCTCTCGATCTTCTTTATCTACAGAGCGAATGACGTTCCTTTAAGGGGTACCTTGATACCTGTCTGGAATCATTTTAGCTTCATTAATAATATATATGCGCATAACCTGTATGTACGTATAGTGAAGACGCCTGTATGATCCATTTTCGCGCGATTTCGATATACCTCTCTAGGTCGATACTAATCTTTTATTTCTGATCTGACCTCGTCGCTAGGGTCAAGGTCTCCTGGTTCACGCGAGAACATCGTCCTCAGTCAGAATAGTATCTTGTAGCAGCCTTTGTCTGTGAGAACACAATAAGACCAATGAGGTCTGTACCAGAGAACTTTAGCAGATCGTTGTAGTTTTCATGGCGTTTAGCATTGTCGAGATCCTCGCCAAGAAGTCCAAACGAAATGTAACCCATTCCAGTGTCCTTAGTAAGCAATGTTATTGTCAATTTTCAATCTTGGGTCAAACTAACGAAGAGATCGTAGCTTCAGCCTGAGCACGAAGTAGGCAACGATACGGAGGCCGATCAGGAAGCCGACAAGGGCGACGACGTCGACCCAATAAGCGGCGTGCTGCATCGACATCTCCTCGAGGAACTTCGTTGGGCTCTTGTAATGGCAGTAGGCCTCGGAGCATTTTAATTTGGCGCGATTGTAACCGTAAACGGATATCATGGCGCCTTCAAAACCATACCGGATGTAGCTCACGTATGAGAGGAACTTCAGGTATCCTGGTATGGCGTCGAAGTTTACGAAGAAACCGGAAAAGAGGACTATGGGTACTGAAGTCACAGGCCCGAGGAATACCCCACTCTGTAAAAATATATTCACAATGTAAAATGTATACAGGGTGATTCACAAAAAATTTGGAACTCAGGTGTGACTTTACTTAAGTAATGTGGTATTCGTTGTCGAGTGATAACAACGCTTGAATTGGGTCAAGTCGAAACTGTAAGGGGAATAAGAAAATGACATCGCATTGTTCAAGTAAAGCCACACCGGTGTTACAATTTTTTAAAAATAAATTCTAACGATTAATTAGATTCCAATAATAAATTAATTACCTCGACGCTCATAGCTGCTCCAATTAATAATCCAATCGATTGTGATACCAATGACGTCAAAATACATATGTTGAGATACATAAGGAATCTTTCTGTCTCAAATGGCTGGGATGTCATGAAATAAACTATCATCACGTAGGCTATCGAGTAGATAATCTGTATAAAATTGATGTATTACAGTACAATGTAGTGAAATCCATACGTGTGATTGATTACTTCAATTGAAATACAAGCTAGATAACTCACTTGAAATGGTAAATCTGCCAACGTTCTTGCAAAATAGAAGGCCTTCAGAGAGTACCAGTAGTTCAGGTGTTCTCTAACGAATACGGCCATTTCGAGAGGAACTGCAACATCGTATGAAATATTTATTATAAGATAACAGTTGTCTCTTGACAAGAACTTGTTATAACGAAAGTCGTATGTTATGTATACTTACATGTGAGAATGGTGGGCATCATGGCTGTAAACATGAGAAACATCACGGTAAAGAACACACATCCGGCATTGCTCATAACCTTGGAGGCTTCGTTTCCAATGTCGTAATAAATCGCACCAATGAGAAAACCGACAATCAGATGTGAGATCAGCCTCACTCTCGTTAAGGTCTGGAATTAATTAATCATAGATCTTTCAGTGTGCATATGTAAAACACCATGAAGGAAATAAAGATAATTGAGATAATGCCTAACCATATCTCTAATTTGTGATAAAAAAGTCCTCTTCAGCAGAATCCAAAATTGAATCCAGCCATTGGTCGGAAAGCCAACCTTTTGTTCTATGCTTTCTGCACTGTCTAATAAGGAAGTAGTGCAAGAAACTGGCATATTTATTACGGTGGCAGCACCGGGAGGCTTGGCCACGCCATTTGGTATCGTGGCAACCGTTTCTGGTTTGCTCTGTGCCTGAGGAGATGACTGTTTTGCAATATCATTAGACACTGCCTGCGCCGTTATTATGGTCGCTTGATAATGCTGATAATTATTACACTTTCCGTTGTTCACAGCCATTACCAATTTGTGAACACATTCGCCATGTTCACCGCAGGCAACTTCCATCACTGAGGAACAAATGTAAAAAGCGAATGCAGTTTAATAAGTGTATCAGAATATTTAACACGACCAATAGAAGAAAGATTTACCATAATCAGCTGGATTGTGATAACTCGGACAATCCAATCCCATGGATGATAAGAAGGGCACGAGTCCTCCGACATTACCCTGGTAGACAGATTGACCCTCAGCAAGTAAATAGAGGTGATCAAACATCTCAAATAACCTAGCGCTGGGCTGATGTATCGTACAGATTATGGTTCTTCCTGCAATTATCATCAAGTAAATAATCAATTACTCTTAGGTATATAATACATCTTTGATTATCATTGTCCAAGTTCAGCTTACCTCCTCTGCTAAGGGACTTTAGCAAGCTAAGACACTGAAAACAGGAAGAACTGTCAAGACCGGAAGTTGGTTCATCGAAGAACATTACTGGCGGATTGTTTACAAGCTCCAGTGCTATTGATAGTCTCTTTCTTTGTCCACCACTGAGAATGTGAGTTTGCGTATTACTGGCGTCACTCAGGCCTAGAGTTTCAATAATTTCGTCTATCTGAAATACAATGATTATCTCGTTACCTTTCTTAAAATAATATTTCTGTTTCAATCTCTTATACACTCACCACGACTTTTTTCGCAGCAGCGCTAATGTCTTTGCCTAGCTTTAAATTCGCTGAGACTGTCATGGCTTCGTAAACTGTAAGATGTGGCAGCAAACGATCATCTTGCATTATGTAACAAGACATTTTACGAAATCTTCTTAGATTTCTGTCCTTTCCATTTATTAGAACAGAGCCGCTTAGGTGTGACGTTCTGCAATTGCATCCAATGTGAATTAGCTTGAACCTTGGAGGATATATTTTATTATAATTTATTATATTGTAATAAACTCACTTGTAACCAGCAAGAACGTTCATAAGTGTACTTTTTCCAGCACCAGAAGGTCCCATTATGGCTGTAAGCTCACCGGACCTAAATTTTCCATTGACGCACTTGAGTATAGTCTTATATCCTGAAAAAAAAAGAAAATATGAAACTCACAATAACGTTTTAATGTTCCAAAACACCGTTGAAACCTTGTTTTTCAAAGCTGTCATAGAATTATATATATATGATCCGTCTATTTGGTCGCTGACTGTTATCTGAATAAAAACAGTTTATAATTTCTACATTTCTCACACAGATCAGTGTAAGAGTTCCAATATGATTTTCACATGCTTCCTTTTATATTCACGTATCCAATTAATTATTCTGCACATTTGTATGCAACCGTCCAGCTCTTTTATTACAGATAATTATGTCAGCCTTTGCGAACTCGTTTTCCACTGAATATATAATGATTCCATTTTCGTTGCATCCCACCATTCGTTTATTTGATTGTGAGAGAAGCTTAAATTTCCTTGCAGCTTATGAAAATTAGAGAAAGAACTACCGAATTAGATATTCCAGCGAGGCGAGAAGTTTCAATTGCCAAAGTAAAAAAAGTAATTCGAATGACTGTAGAAATAAAAACCTCGAGAGATTTTCATTCGTAAACCAAGTTAAAATTTTCGGTTAGATGAGCTTGATTGCTCTCCAAGTGGACCTGGCAGAATCATTCGAAATTGGCAATGCGTCGATTGCGCCAAATTCATTTTGGCTTGGAATCTCAACCGTGCCAGGCGCAACTGCACTCGTCTAGGTACATCTGCGCGCAGAAAGCAGAAGCGCCCAGTACATTTCTATTGATTCTTTCAAAGCCAGGTCGTTCACACTCGTAGTACCATAGGACGTGAGACCAACCTGACGCATGGGTATACATATAGATATCCATGAAGGTAGTCCTAATCAAATTTTAAATATTGGAAAAAGAAGGATAATAATTTCCTAGTTTTGTTGCTCTTCGAATAAAATAATCTCTGTGCAAAAGAAAAAAGAAGAAATTTTTTCATCAAAACTATTCATTCTAATGCAGAAAAATTGGCAGAGGATTGCGAGTTCTCCTTTGCTTCATTCGCAGTAGTAAAATAGTCTATTATCAATTGGAAGCTTGGAACGAATTCTCATTGAAATTGAGCATTCATATGTATAACTGACGGATAAGATATACTATCATGATATTTTTATGGATGATGATGTGGAACAGAAACAAAAAAATTGATATCGTGCAGCTGCCACACAATCAACTATTTTTCGATACGGGTGATATTCTCTATCTTGAACTTCTTTTTATATTTTCAATATCATCGGTCTCGACCTTAAGGATTAAAGGATCCCACGGGATCACTAGAAATTCTGTATCACCCTGCACTTCATCCCCATCTTCGTATGGTATCCAACAGTTTTTCATCCTGACTCCCCATGATGTCCTATCTCACAATTCCTCGTCTACTCAACCCTAGTCTCGTTCCTTTCTAGACAGCAAAACGGCCGATGCGAAATCAGTTCGAGATCCGATCCCCAGGACGGCCATTTCGATGGCAAACAACATCAGCCAGGTCTCGAACGAAGATTTTTCATTTATTCCTCTGCGAAAGAACAACAAAGATGAATAATTTATTGAAAAGCGAATCTCACCTCTTTTCCGGCCTTCGGAGACGCTATAGGCCAGATTTTTGAATTCGATGTCGACAGGCGGCCTCTTCGGCAGATGCGTCAGGGCCACAGCTGGTTTTTTATTCGTCTGACCACCAGGACTTGCTCCGCTGTGATTCGGCACCTTCCTCGCCAGCACTCCAGCCCCAGTGCATACCGCAGCTGCAGTTCCATTCGATGCAGAACCATTGCAACTACAGTGCAGATTATTCTGAGAGCCCCTGTACATAAAAGAGATTATTCATTCAAAGTGGACGCAGGATATGACAATTCCCTCAGAATAGGTATATAAATTACACGTGGCACTATTGTCAGCTCCAGAAATAATATCCAGGAGGCGCTGCACTCCCTGGGGAATATCGAGCCGCCCAAAAAAAGAGCAAGAGATGGAATTAAAAAAAGATCCACTACCCCTATACCTATACTACCCCAATGGCATTTCGGTCGTGTTAAATTCTGAGAACGTATCTATGAATCAGTTTTGTTTTCATCCCTTGAAAAAAAGGAGGGTGCCTACGTACCGACAGCATACAGGGCGTCATGTGATAATATCTCATTATTCACTCACAGCCAGGTATAATATTCTCAATAATAATAATAACGTTCAAAAAATAATTCAACAACACACATGTTTGACTAAGCTCAGCATGACGTAAGAGTGTTCGGGAATTTGTGAGAGAGTCTGACGCGAGCCGAGTAGGGATGACGTTGAATGGAAAAGGGTAGTTCGCGTGGGAGGGAAGAAAAGAGAAATACAATAATTCAGGTGTCTATTGATCTCGCGAATGAATGTCTGATGTTTTTATTCTTTGATAGGCATTCTATTCAATTGCGTTATTTTCTTTTATATTTTTTTACCGCAAGTACGAGACTTCTTTCTACGTACGTACCCTTACTGCCCTTACGCAGCCATAGCTACATCAGTCAGTTAGATAGATAAATAGATATTTCATCCAAGCACAAAGGACACTTTCGATAAAAGCTTAAAACTCGACCTTAAGCCTGGATCACATGTTAGAGGACACCGAATGTTACTAAGTATAGTAGTTTATTCCGTTCAAACGTACCACGTGAAGTGGCGCGCCTATTTGATGGAACCAAGTTCAGGCGGTACGTTTGGGCTGAATGACCAAGTATAGAAATTTTTACATGTATCGACTGACATAGGCTTTGTCATCTAGTCGAGATTTCTGACAGATACATGAAATTTAATAGCACTGAGAAAATTGGATGGAAAAATGCGTTCCTTAAGAAATGTTTTATGAAAAATATACATAATCATGTAAAACGATGAATTTTTTATTTCAATAGTAAATAAAACTAACCTGTCTAACAGGGCTAGATCACCCTTGGATGTAGAATCCAGAGGTGCCATGGACGTGTTAATTATATTACAATGATAGAAATATAATTTCAAGTAAATAATGTATATATATACACATAGATTCACACGAATCGTAAGACTCAACTGGTCAACTCGCGGTCCAAACGATCACTAACTTTATGCAATCAATTGACAATCAATCGGTACTATTGAGATAACCGTTTTTTAATAGTGATTAACGTTGCTATCGTAGGCACTGGGGCGGGAGGGGGAGATAAGAAACTCACGTGAGAGCTCTTTTAATCTATGAATTTTTCACGATTATCGTCCTTTGATCATAACGTAGACGTATCGTGATAGCATCAGTCACAGTGAAGATTATATATATATATATAAAAGTTAGATGGATACATGTCAAATATGTCTAGATTACAAAAAGTCTTTACGAATTGTAAAGCTGTTGCTCTGTCGACTGTTGAATAATTGTTATACCAAGATTAATTAATCTATGCCAATTTGATCTCTTATTTAAATTATAAATCTATATCAAATCAAAACACGTGCTACTCTATGAGAAGTACAGTCCAGATAAAAATGGTTGTCTTATCGATCTTAAACTGATAAAATGAGCTTTTTACTTCTGCCGAAGAGGTCACGTGAGGTATTATTACGAAGAGTGCTTTCCACCCTATTCGTTTTTGCGACTTTACCGAGAAACAGGAAGTGGGGATTTTGTTTCAAGGAAACTTCGAGGTAAACAGCGACGTGTCATACTGTTGGTCAATAGGTGAAGGCCATTTGGTAATAGACAGAACTTCCGATTGCGTGAGGATTACCCAGAGCTGCTTCTTCCTAATTTTCAAGAGAGTATGAAAATGCTATTTAATGGTCATTGGGATAAAACTGAGAAAATGATTGCTGGTCGAGCTTAATTTTTTTTTATTGACTCAAATTTCCCAAGGAAAGTTGGAAAGTCGCATAAGTCGGTGAAAATTAGCAAGCGGCGGGACGCTGAATGGAATTCGGGTCAAATAGTCGGGTCAATAAATTTGGTACCTCGCACGCTCTAAGGTTAGAGATGTAGATGTTCCCAGGGTATTTTTATTAGTATACTAACTATATACTATACATGCTATTCCATTCCCTGTATCAAGCACGACTTTTATCTCTGCTCTTATGTAAATTCATTTCGTGAAATTTTTGCAGAGACCGAACTCTCAGTGGTTCTCAACTAATATATAGACCATTATGCAAAATTTAATCAATTCTTAAATGATGACCAATGACATCGAACTGTAACCCCAATGCGATTAAAAGCTGCATCCCCGTGTAAATAATTTTCGAAGTAACTTAAAAGAAAATAAACAAAAATGTAATAAACAAAAATCCAAAAAGTCATAAAATTCATTGATTTCACCCACAAGCCTAATTAACATTCTGAGCCATTGATCAGCATAATTACCCAAGAATAGCGTTGTTAAGATTCTCCAGATGCAGGGAAGGCGGTGGCGACCTGATCGTCACCTGATGACTTCCGCCAGCAACAAACTGTACCTGCTCGTCCCCATTGTATCGTGTACCACCACCACCGACCAATCCATGATTCTTCATATCACCCATTCTCCGTTACAGCCAACACTGAAAAAGAAAAAAAAAACATAAAATATAAATTATTCGATAATTCGAACTTCAATGATAGAGTCCCTTCCTTCCGATTATACCTATACACATGATATCTATACTCTACCTTATAACGTAATAACGGGTAGATAACGATATAGCCATTAAGAATAACTGTTTCTACACCAGCAGATCCTATACTATAAATTATTTTAAAAACCGTCTAATCAGGCCTACCGTATTAAAACTTAACCTGGACTAGAACACAATGTTGAGCAAGTAACGAATCATTGCCGCTTATAAAGAGTTTAACGACCATCAGTATGAACGGTTCAACGACACTTTTGATACCGGCGACAGATCAAATTAGCTATGGTCCAATGAATATTCTGAAACGTAACACGTGTCTGACTGGTAATGTAAGATCATTCCAGGGTTAATGCTCGATCAGAGTATTAACTGTAATCGCTCTATTGACGATTATAATTATCGTAATAAGTAACCAGACGTATCCTCTACTGTGTTTTACCTCACACGAAAGCAACATAAAATCCGAACACATAAATTATTCATTAATATTAAAACAACGGATATATCACACATGCTAGTCATATTCTTAACGTCCATCAAAGACCTTCGCGAAAGTTACTCAACCTAGTCAAGGTAATTCCAAAATATTTTTGATAACCGGTTATCCAAGGACGACGCAAAATCATTATCGTTGCCTCGTACAGGAACTACGAGAAAAAGACAGCGTAATAACATACGAATTAAAATAACTAACCTTTGTACAAGTGGTCGGACTTCGATAATAAGGAAATCTGTATTATACGAGAGATGTATGATTAGGGCGTAAAAAATTTTATTACGTAATACCATTCGTCTTAAATCAGCATCCGACAACTTGTATTTTTAATCTGAAATCGTTAATTAAATTTAACGATCCTTACAGGGACAAAATCATAGGGAGACCAACACGTGTTACTCTCGAACGACTTTCCACTATTATTCGTAAGTTTAATACACATCTAAAAGTTACTGTGGAAACGGATCCGTGTCACGCAATATCGATCGGGTGGCGATTTTTCAAAACCTGAAAAACATATCGCCAGTCCCCATTCCGACGGAGAACATTGGAAGCTTTCGTATAGCGACAACTTCAAGTCGTATATAACAATCAGTTTTATAGTTTATCGTTGAGCCACGAGCAGGGCGCTACTCCTTCAATAAAGATGGCCGACGGACGTACATACTCGGCATTCCATTCCTCAAGGATACAATTATTCCTTATACCAATTTTACGTCCACTAATAGAAGCAAGACTACTCGCGAAGACGACGTACCTAGTGCACTTCCGATACACCCGATATATACATATCGTAGTTTCACGACCAACCAAGTGCAGCCAACTTCACGGGTTCATCGTTCCCGTACAAAGGTAACTAACGCGGCGAACGGACACTGTGAGATTTGGTTTCCTAAGATTAGAATGGAGTTTCTGATTTGTTCAAGGACAAAGTTCAGACGTTCCACGCATAATTACTGCTAACGGTCATGCATGGTCTGGATGAATAGCGTGACACATGTATATTGATGCCATAACGGTTCCGTAAGCGAAAAATATGTAAAATATATTGAAAAACAATTATATCATGTAATCAACAAATAGTATGCAGTTTTAAAAAAAATACTTATAAAATTGATTTTCCTGATATAAATTTTCACGTTGCTTCTGACTCGTCGAACTGGATACTGATGATTGATATTGTATCCTACTGCTAGATATACCTCACTGTTGTTTATACTATATATATATTTACATGAAAGTAAAATCAGTGCTAAAAGTAGCTATAGCGTTGAGGAAGTTCATTGGCTGAGGTCTACGTCTCTATTGGATAGACGTAATTCTACCTACACGGTGTACTACACGTTTGGTACGAATATGTCAAGGCTTCTTGAAGAGGCCATGATATTGCCTTAAAAAGGCCTGCAGGTTACTGACCCATAAATTAATTACCGACATGCACGCCCATAAAAATGTTATGTGTGAACAGTACCTTTAGCAGCAAAGACTGGAGGAGCGCGGAATAGCCGTTTAAAATGGGACACGCTATACAGCATTGCGGCAAAGGCACCAAGGAATTAATACCAGTACTTACTATCCCTTGTTACGTGTACCAGGTGATATTGAATGACGTGATATGATAGTGAATAACGGACCAGCTGAAGTTGGGCGCAAGTGAATGATACGGCAGTGTGATCTCTCCAAACAATGACAGCTAGGCACAGTTCACCGTGACCGATTCACATAAGCTCACACTGAAAGTTCGCATAGCAAAAAGTTTCAATAGTTAGGTTACTGAAATAATTAATATCCACCTCCTTCTGCCATTGACTCAGGTTCCTAGACTCTCCATTATATTCTGGTAAACCTCTTCTGGGTCCATATCCTATTTATAAATTTCTTAAAATTACCAGAATCATCCTAACGCTCCTGTGCATCTCTTTTATGTATCCCAATACTGTCCAGAGAATGATCTTGCTTCAGCTCCTTCTGCCACTGGCTAAGGGAGGGAGAAGACAAGGAAAACTTAACAAACCCAGGTACTCAGATTCCCCGACACTCTCTGGCAAGCCTGTCCAATGTCCCTACCACACCGATAAATTCCCCGAAATATTCTAACACTCCTGTGAATCCCTTTCAGATATTCGGAAACTGTCCTGATAAATATTGCAATGTGTTGTAAAAATAAATTCTTACTGATATTACATTTTTTCTTTATAATATTAATATTAATTAATTACTTCACTAACCTAACTATCGAAATTTTTCAATGACCTAACTTACTGCAATGCGAATTGTCAGTGTGCACTTATGTGAATCGGTCACGTTGAGCTGTGCCTAGCTGTCAATTTTTGGAGAGGCCACACTATCGTGTCGGCCGCTTGGACCCAACTTGGACTAGTGCATTTTTACTAACTCTGTATATACATCACATCACGATCACAGAGACAAGCAATCTTTGAACTTTGATGCCTCCGGCCGAAACATCTACAAGTTGCTGCGTAATTCCGCCAGGGTCGAAGGTATTTGCCACGAATGTCCAGGAGCCAGTATCAAGAGACTCGGTCGAGTCCCGCGCCGAGTACAGCCAACCGGCAGTACGAGCAGCGGGCGAAGACCGAGACTCTTCATCCGAAGCAACTCGCCCTTATATACACGTTAGCATAGGTAAGCATTACTGGGCTCATGAAAAATTTCATCAAAATGAAATGTCCACTAAGGACGAACAGAGTGGAATAATATTTACAACGCGACGCTGCAACTTTGTTTGACATATGCAAACTCGTTTCCTTGTGCATGCGTATAAGTATAGTATAAGCCGTAGGACTGCACCTACGTATATATATATAGATATATGTGTGAATGTGTCGTTCGTATAGTTTGAGGACAGGGTACCATAAAGCGGCGTTCACAATGAAATGACAGTTGATACGTTCTTATTAAAAAAAAAATACTAAATATTGGGATATCATAGCATTGGAATTCTACTCTAACTCTATTCTAACCTAACGGTATACTTTCTAAGTCCATCGCAGTTCCAGGTGCCTAGCAATACAAAAATTTTAAAAAATTTGGTGTGAAACACCGCTTTATAATCCTCGAATATTCTTTGAGGGCAGTCCTCAAAACAGCCTCATGTCTTCATACTAACAAAGCGTATATGAAATCGTCTCCAAAATTACCCAACGTCAAATTTATACTTATAAATATATATATACGTGAAATCACTGTCTTCAGCAAACGAAAAAATATTGAAATGATTAATAAAATTTTCTTGCTCCCTAAGCCGAAAGTACCGTCTTCCCGGCCGCATTTGAGTCCGGGAAGAGCCACTTTTGTGGTCTGTTTGCCTGCATATAAACAAATGCAAACAAGTGAATGTTCAATCATAAACTCTAACTGTTCATAACCGTAAATTTGTAATGTCAGTTGAATAATAAAAACGAGAAGACGGTACTTTTGGCTTAGGGAGCAAGAAAAATAGTATACGACACATGGTCAAACAGTTAAATGCCCTGGCGTATGTGATATAAAGGCCGAGGCGAAGTCAAGGCCAGGAAATCCACAGGCCACAAAAGTAAATACTTTTGTGAGCATGTTTGCAACATACATTTACAGCAACAGCGGCGCAAAAGAATCTGCTTCGCTTGCTGAATTATCGACGAGTTTTGCTAGATATTTACTGACATTATTTTTTAAATTTCTATTTCATAGCAAATGTGTAGTATATTCTCAATAAACTATACTAGAAAAGTATTTCAAATGTTTTGCACATACACGTTGTGTTATTTGGGGATAAAACAGCTGTACAAAAACCGAGGTAAACTCGGATTCGTTATCAGCTGAATATACGGTATAAATATAGGATTTTGTCATATCAGACGTATTGTAGACGTTGCAATTTGCAAGAACATAAAGCAGCTGCTGGCTTGATTCGTCATTTGAAGAGGAAAAAAATAAACAAACCACGTGCGGTTGACTGAGACGTATCGGATGTGGGATATGTTGTACATATCCATATAAAGTTATTTAGATTAAACGCACTGATTGAATATGGTTTTTCCGCAAGAATCAAATGACCGCGCTAACATTTGCGGTGGCACATGCGGTGGTGCATTTGGGCTAAATAACCTGAAGTTTTGGAATCTTCCTTAATTCCGTAACGGATCTTCTTCCGAGTTACGTCCGCTATATATAAGACTATATTTGTTTGTGACAGACAGAATGGCGACAGGGGCAACGCGGAAGAGCGGTTATTGGCTTGTGGCCAGTGAATGACATTGTATTTATCTTTTTTTTTTCATCTTTTATAAAAGTAAATTCGTTAACTCCGTCAAAAACGTGAAGAGAACGGCCAGTAGTACCGATGAAACAACTATCCAAGTCAGTTTTTAGGTTAACGTGATGAATCGATATAAAATTAATGTTAATATGAAATTGTTTGATATTATTGTTCATGAATTTTTATTATTGTCGATAATTAATATCAAGTAAAATATCAATCGATTTTCAATACTCTGCTTGACGCATTAATATTAATATTCTAAAAAGGTTAACGTTATAGACATACGTTGAATTTTCACGTTTCCAGTTGAATATTCTCATAATTCATAAATGTTCCGCTAGTATCGCATATGTCGGGAAAGGTCAGACGACGAGGAAATCGATGTGTAAATAACAACAGTTTCATCACTTGGTAAAAGCAAATTCAGTAATTGTATATTATACAGGGTGTTCCGAAACTACCTGACCCGGTGGGTATGGCGGTGTTCGGGAGGCTTCACTGATCACGAAAATGACCTTCTTTTTGTCCGGAAGGTCATAGTTTTTAAATGAGAGCAGGTCAAAGTTGACCAATCAGAGGGAGGCGTCAAGAAAAACGTAGGCACCTACGAACTCTGAGTTTTCTTCCCTCGCTTTTGTTTCTCGGTAGCTTGTTTCTTGTTTCCAATAGGCATGTCTTCGGCTGACGTCATCCTGCCCGAAGCCACCGAGAAACAAAAGCGAGGGAAGAAAACTCAGAACACTCAGAACAGTTTCGGAACACCCTGTATGTACTACATCAGCGTTAAAATTCCAAAATTTAAAAGCCAAATAGATTTCACAAGAATATTAAAGAAAAGTAGTATTTATATATGTATACGCGTCCAAGACAATAGAACTGACTATCGACCACACGTGACTCGTGACGTAAACGCATAGGCCCATGGATATGCACAGATGCTTCCTCTGTATAATAAGTGCTAGTAATTAAATGTGAATTGCGATACGATAATTTATCTTGAGCAACGCAGTAATAGGGAAATAAATTTTTAAAAATCATTTTCATTTAATATTACTAGATCGTAACGAAGGTAAGAAGGAATCCAATGACCCGATCGTGGGCCATTGTGGTCCTGTAGAACTGGAGACAGTCCGGTATTTGACCCTGGTGGACTTCGGTCAAATGGCAATAGGAAATATCGCAACCAGACAGGAAGATGTAGAGGATGAACGTGAGACCCGGTGGCTATGGCTACTCTCGCAACACTCTTAGCGACTCATATATCGTTTAGAGACTCCAGTCTGTCTTTATTTGCATCGATGAAGCAATCGTGTTTCAACTAGCGTTTCCTATTCATTGTTGGGTCCATAAACTGACGCGCAGAGACGAACAGGTGGGAATAAATGAAGAAAGCATAATCTAGCCTGGTCTGTACAAAAGAAGCAGTAACGTACAATGAGTAATAGACTACGCGCGTTACGTATGTTATATATGTTTTGTGTGTGTATACTATATATAAGCACTAGGATCGTTAAGATTGAATTAAGATGGAAGTGTCTAATTTACAGGACATTCCATAAGAAGTTTCGTGCGAGTTTGAAAGTACGTAAAAAAAAGTACTACTGGAAAAGGTTATGAAAATTACGAAAATTTTCTATCTCGTGTGAAAATTCTTAGCTATTCCATTAGAAATAGAATGCTAATAATAGTCATTTCTGACGCGGTAGACTGAAACTACGTTTTTCTAGTGCACGTGTCGATGCGACAAAGAATCTCAACTTATGGCCCACATAGCTTATATGTAATTTACGTTGAAAATGGATCATCATAAAGTGAAACATAAAAGATTTTTTTGTTCTCTTACAGAACACAAAGTACTTACGGCACAGACAATCGATGAGCAGTCGCGATATTCTTATTCATTCCACGACTATGACGAACATTGCTTTAATCGCTATACTCCAGTTCCCATAAGTTTTTATCGTACGTTACGGGTAGATCCAATACAGTACTGTTACTCCTTTGTCACAGGACACAATAACTGACGTGAGCTAGGTATTCGTCTTTCTTCAATTATATTTTCACAGTCAAAATTATCCAGTCGCTATGACAATAAGTGTTTTAAATTCGTCTACGCACTCGCGCTTTTTCTGTCGCACATTGCGTATTACGTGTCACATTTACGATAAGAAAATAACTGGCGGCTGCCAACCGTACCGTCAAAATCAGCTGTCCGCCAGTTCTGTCGGGCTGCGCTTCTGTTCGGCCTGTTAGTTGAAATAAACCGAGCTGCTGCAAAGCAGAGACGTAGCTATTTAAGGTACCTTTATATGGGGCATTCCCCACCCTGCTTCTATACCTTTGTTAATACTTTTCATTGATTGGTATAAAAAGTAGTGGAATCAGTATTTTACTCATTAAATTCCTACAATGTTTTTGTCCGTATATATACTGTAAATTAAAATCATCCGTGTAACGGAATTCTCATGAGATCAATACTGATTTTCTCCTTCTTAATGTCTCACGGTACATTTTGTCGTTGTGCTATATTACCATTATTCTGAATGAAGATGACATTTTTAATTGAAAGATGACAGTGAATTGTCTCTGTCAATTTTGTGAGGATAGAAAACAACAGTATTTAGGAATATTATTTACCTAACGATGACGAGAGAATAAAAGTAATAAATTACAAAAGTGCAGAGGATGGTATTAAGTAATTTTTTGTTTCTCACGACCTGACACAGAGACCCTATGAAATGTTTTCTATCGTCAATACTTTTATTTATATAAATTTTTTTTTTGTACTCCCCAGGGCCCTACGATCCTCTAGTACGCGACTGAATCAACTCGCGCATGCACCACAAGGCTCTGTCAGCAATAAGGACTATAATGGCATGTACGGTCACGCATTTCTCGACTCGAGTTGCTAAACGCCATCGAACAGAGTCCGCGCAAGAGTGGATAGTAGCGAGTGGAACGAAGACAAAGAGTAGTGCTGCGGAGAGTGAGGGAATAAAATAAAGGAGAATGGGCTAGCGCATGTTGCGGGTCGATACTCCAGCACTGGCCGGGTACAGTTGCACTGAGCCAGTACGTTCGCACTGAACGAAAGAGAGACCCTAACAGTGGGAAATACAGATATGACAAAGATACCAATAAAATTGAGAGAACGCATACACTCATGAATGAAACATCGAACGTTGGTCCAGCTGCCTTGGGACATGGCCCCCTTTTTGATAATACGAGAATATCTGATTGTAGACGGCGAGCAGCCTAATCATATACAGAGGTCCTAATGACGAATAATTAAAAAATCCTATGGTAATGGTACAAAATCTTTTTTTCGTAAAATTACTTTGCAACGTGTTTCTTCTTTCACTTGAAGGTGGCGAGAGAAATTCTAGCTATGGGAAACCGGTATGGATAGTTACTTTTGTTTCTTTTATTAGATTCCTGTCTGTCCGACTGAGTCACGTGGCTAGTGATAATTTTTTTAAATCGATGAATTCTTCTTATTGTAGAACCTTCTTGTATGAATTGTATAGTAATATTTAAAATATGTAGGATAAATATTGTTTTGTACTATACAGTGTACCATTTTTATCAAGCATTCACGCTTGTCCGATTTTCTAACGGAGACCGGTCAGTTGCCCCTTAAGCGATTCTGTTGATATCTTCTGTCCTACTAACCGTATTTTAAATTGTTAATTTTATTGATATCTGCACGTGGTAGAATTCGATCGGCTAATAATAATCGATTGTTCACCAAACATTTTTACGCACTTCCGTAAAAATATATTCCGCAATTTTATCGGTCAAAAATCTCTGTATACAACTACGAGATTTCCAAAGAATAATAGGTATACAGTCTATAATAAAGCAGCAATCTACCATTTGGTAAGCATAAAATTCAAGTATTAAAGACGAGTTAATTTTTTTTTAGTTTCCTATAAATTTACTTCCATTCAAATTTAAGATGTCGGAATAAAAATTATTTTACGCGTCTAACGATAAGTTGTTACAATACGAATTACTAAACCACGTAGGTCCTCTTTATTCTGTCACGAGTCAAGGCGAGTTCACAAGCACCAGCAGGGCCGCACTCAATATGGTATTCAAGTATCGGTATAGGTACTCTTACAGTCAAGACTCTATTTTCAGATTTCGACTACGTCATCGATCTTTTATTGATATCGATCGCCGATATTACACCCGATAAGTTACTTTCGCAATGACCTTATTGACTAGTAACAACCACAAAATCCATACGTATGCATACAAATTGGATTTGTAGACATTTTCGATAATCCAAACTAGGCTTACTTCTATTGGTATCTATTTATACAACCTTACAGTTAAACCACGTACGAGGTTATGCACGTTCAAGGATCGATAAGAATATTGTACATTGCCGAGAGGCCAGGCAATATGCGTCCGACCACACACGATTTGTACGGTATCGACGTCGACGCCACGCGTCGCCACTTGTTTCGCCATTCTTAATAAGACGTATCCTCCATAAAGACAGTTGGTGAAGAGCTTTCTAACCTTACATTTTTCGGTGCGTCATTGCATTTTAAGCTGGAATGTAAAACAAAAAGAGATATGTAGAAGCATAAGAACAAAGTCCATTGACTACTTTATCATCATTTGAGATAATATATTCCGCATGAGGTCGACATTCAAGATTGTATTAGTACAAAGTTCCATAATCAGGAAGTTCTCATGACAATGAGTTCTGATGAACTTGGATATTGCTAATCAAAATTATAAACATGATCAATTAAAATGATACTTTACCATTTATACCTACAGATTAGATTATACTTCTATGGTACAAGTTTAGATATTTGTCATTCTGGTATGAAACAAAATTCCGTCCACGTGTGTTTAAGGACGTTTCCACGTTTATCTTGATGGACAAAGATTTAGTACTGTAAAATATACTATACAAGAGTCAGAGGCTGTTTACGCGAAATAGTGTATTTCCTCCTCAAAGTATACGTACGTCATGCAGAGTTATTTGTTCGACTTCTGGCAAGGAATTTTATCCATCCTTGATTTTTCTGATTTCTATGTATGTACGTATGCACCGTCATCTTCGTGGAATTGTTGCTTTTCGCAATTGAGTTGAATCATCTATTACTCCTGATGATATGATGTTTTTTGTTCTCTCCTCTACGGAAGTCATTACGTCCGGTTGTTTTCCTAACGATCTGTTGCTGGAAGAGTAAAGCCAGAATCTGTCAAACGCGTGCAGACCGCGTGCACTGAGTGCAGCTGCACTCAATGCACCAAAGACCATAAGGTTCAGTTAGGTTCTTCCCTTGCTGCCGTTCTAAACAAAGAAATGTACTCGCCCGCCTTGATGCACACTGAACTTTCTAGTTTCCACTGAAGAAATCCAAGCTGAGAGTATAGATCTTGTGGCATGAGAGTTTCTTGATTATTCATTTTCTTAATAATTCAATGATGCTGCGTGTAAATATAAATGCTTATATTAGGTCGCGTATGTTATGAAGTGATGATATCGAATTTGATTAACGAAAATGTGTTCCTTAGGGTCAAGGGTTAATTAGAACGTCTGACTGGTCATTTAGCGGATTTAGATTTTACAAAGTATAGATGATAAACTGCCATCTGTAAACTTAACTGAAACCGAAATGGATAACCGATAATAACCAGAAAAATAAGGAGACGAAACTGTAATCATTAACTGAAATTTCATAAATGTTATACCGAAAACCGTAACGGAAATCTGAAATTGATACAGTGGAAAACCAAAATCGAAGCTTTAACCGGAATGTATTTTATTAATAATAGCAGAAATTAGCAGGGAGATTGCTCATGGGCCGATTTTCATGGATCCAATTTTATTTCGGCATCGACCCGCCACCTGAGCGGAAGTCCGTCGAACCATACCCACGTTTTTGATTAGTCGAGTATATATAAATATACTACGCGTAATATTTGTGAGCTCAGTGAGACCCAATGGATTTATACCGGGTGGCACTCTAAAGCGCGTGTATTCTGGTATCGACGCGCCACCTGGACGCAGGAGCCTCAACCTGTTCCACGAATGTGATTGGTCGAACGTATATTTAACACTAAACCTACCGACATATTATATATACCTATTTCTACCGATGGCTGTCAAATGACCGCTTTTGAAATAAACATTATAGTATTTTCCAGTTGATTGTAATTAATACAGAATTTAGCATAGTCGTGCAATAAGTTCAAGAAAAATAAAAACCTGGAATTTAACAATTTTGATTAAAGTCTCAAAAGCGGTCATTTGACCCCTCTGGTAGGTTTAGTGTTAAGCCAACCTTAAACGTCGGTAAAAACGCAAATATAAGTTTCATTGCATGAATTATGCATTGTGCTTTGGTTAGCGCCCAGGAATCTCGAGTTCGAGACTCGATCGTTAGTTCCTTTTATATTGAGTCGCTCACTATGCTTAATGGTTTTATTAATTACCTTAGAATTTAATCAATACATGACTATATTTTGCTATGTACATTTTATTATATTATATATATACAATAAATATATAAATCCGCGAGTATTTCTTTTTCCTAACAGCCTGTGATTGACACACCGGGCAGATGAACATCGGCACAAGTAGAAAACGAGTATTTACATGGAAAACGCGATGGCCTCTGTGGGCACGTGGGACCTTGCAGCCATGAAGTACCGGGATCACTGCCAGGTATTATTTTATTTCTTTAATTAAGCCACGCTGCGACGACGGACATATTAAAAAAATTATTGAACAAATGTATACACATCAAAAGAGAAGAAACGTCATTGGCAATCTTCCTGCTGCCACTACTAATAGAACAAACATTCAAACCTTTACGATTCACGAATAGCTCGATACCCCGAGAGAAGAAGGAAAAAATCAGTTGCACAGAAATATTGAAAATTCGGAACCTTGTTTTCGAAAGCTTTCCAAAAGTTACTAAATATTATTGCATCTTGACCTACTTTCGAAATTTATTTAAAATATAAAATTCAGGCTAAATAAGATCTCGGAAAATATATAGAGTAGATAAAATCGGTATCTTGGAAATACCCTATTTATTTATTTCCCAATCTTCTTTTTTTATATTTAATTTTTCTTTACTTCCTTATTTCTTTATCTTTCATTTTTACTCTCTTATTTATCCCTTTCCTTATTTCGTCTCTACTTTTATACCTCTATTCCATATTTCTCAATTTCTTGATTTCTTTATTTTTATCTTCCATTCTGACTTCTCGTTTCACTTTCTCTCCTTCCATTTTCCATTGTATTTGGCTTACTTGTCCTATTTCTTTGGACGGGTCGAGCACATTCATTCAAGTAGTCATATGAAGGTGTCCTGTTAGAGTGTAGTTAATGTTTCGCTTAAAATTTTTATTTGAAATTAAATTGTATTTATAATGATTTCGCATATCAAGTGACATCTCCTGATATCCATAAACGTGTCATAATTGACCGCAGTATATTTTAGTAACTTAACTGATTGTGAGTACGCTTACACACAGCGGTTTTAAAAAGGATTAAATCGCGTTGAATTTTTCTTCCTCACTAAAACTGTCGCTCCTTAAACCGAAATCAAAATCTATTACATTCGAAAACCGAATCTAAAAACCCTAAACGAAAAATTATGAATGAAAACAGAAAATCGAAAACTAAAACCGAAATTAAAGCTTTTACCATTTTGAACACCGTAATCGAACCTAAATTTCTTGCGGTTGCAGTCGCTGGTCAAGAAAAATAGGTGGCACCAAACTCGATATATATGTAAAGATGAGTAGGGAGATGCACAACGCTAAGATTTTAGGCGATACCAAAATCATGGCGCTAAATCGTAGCGGCGAGTCTGG